TCTGTATGATGGAGAGGGATGTCACACATTTCTATATGTACTTATGCAGCCCAAGCTGTGAAGATTTTAAGTTATGAAAGAAGAAAACTAACAATATACAAAATAAGAAAAATGAATCAACAAAAATGCGTCTCAACTCCACCATATGTTCTAGAATCAATGGCCTCAGGAGAAACTTACATCACAAATACAGGCTAGTTTATTGCGTTGTGTAAATCCTCTCATTAGCATGACTGTTTCAAGAATACGGCCCCTGCTTGATACTACAATTAAGAGAAAGCAATTACTTCCTTAAAAAGTAATTAATTGCTTAAAAAAGGCAATTTGTGTATTTTAAAGCTAATTATTATTCATAAGCATGAAATCTTAATGAAAGGACCTTAGGATAGGTACAGTGTATTTTGAGCTGAGATCTGAAGTGGCATGCTAGTTATAATTAAGAAATTAAAATCAATTCAGGGATGACGAGAGGCCCATCTTTGGCAATGACAGCAACTAGCTGCTACAAGGATCTCATCCAGCCATTTCTTGAAAGATCGTGTTGGCTTCAACAAGATGGCAGGGAATAGTTGTTTCATACTCACAAACCTATGTGTTAAAGGTTCCCGTTTTCACTTATTAATGCACTTCTACTTAGTTTTCATTTGTGTCCTCTATCTCAAGTTTCATTACCGACTTCTTCAGAATCAGCCAAGTTAACTCGATAAATGCCCTAGAGGATTTTAATCCTGGAATTCAATCTCCACTTGTGGAAATTAAACATCTTCCAGGTAACTGTCCAGTCCTGGGTTCTAAATCTTTTTAGATTTAATTTGCAACTTATACACTGCTTGCTAATCCTCTTACTGTTGTATAATGCAAACTTGACTTTACCAGAATCTAGTGAATTAGTGATCCTAAAGGGCATTGCACTAATTACATGCTGCCAACCAGAGCTTTCATCCCTTAGGATGATTAAAATTCACAGAACTATTTAAGCAATTTCATAACTTACAAAATCAATTTTGTTTTTGCCACTCAGAATGCATGTCACAGGGAATAACAAAAGAAGAGTACATAAAGGATGTTGTATAAGGTAAACGTATACAGTGCACAAGAAGGGAACTGCTTTTTTTTCCCCCACTGCGAGGCTAACATCCAGTTTCCAAATACATCTCTAACAAAGCACATGCAAGTACTGTAGATATCCTCTAGAATCACAACTATCCGAGTACCTTTTAAGGATCTGTACATTTGAGAATTTGTTTTAAATGTATAAAATGCCAAAGTTACCATTTTTAACAATACAGGCAGCACTCTGTCTTTATGACACAGAACCTATAAATGCCAGCAACCAATTACATCTTATTTCCTTCTTACCCCCTTGGCAGAATACGCTGAGTGGAATCTATCTCAGCAGAGTGCACAATAAGCATCACTGGGTGCAAGCAGTCATTGCTACAAGAAAAAAATCCAACTCGCTCTTTCCTTAGTCTCCATTAAATTATCAACTTCTGAAGATATGAAACAATTGTCATGATTTAGAGATCATCTCCTAACCTCTTTATTCAAAACAGGGTCATGGGGGTGCCACAGCCTATCCCAGCAAGCAACAGAAGCCAAGTTCACACAACATTCAAACCAAACCATGGCCAGTTAACCCACCATTCGAACAGAGAGGACATACAAGCTCCACACAGACAGCACCCACTGAACTGAATCCAGGATACCAACGCTGCACGGAAGGAATGCTGACCTATGTGCAGCTGTGCCACGCCAATTTAGAGATCACCTATGACCAAAATCTTCAAACTCCATTTATATAATTAATAACAGAGGTGTTAACTACACTTTCGAATCAAGAGACCTATCTGGCAGATTGAGTTGGGGCTCTCCCGGCCCATGGTTAGTGGACCTTATTTTATGTGAATGTAGACTCCAGAGATCAGTAAGCATGCCTCATATTGGTCAGTTATGTTTCAGCTCCTTGCAGGACCCAGTGCAACCTAAGATTGGTCAACCAAATCGCTAGGATTTAGAGCAGTACCATCACTGCTTCTCATCTCCAGACCTGGGAAAACAACCAATCCAAGCATTTTCATTCAACTGGCACCTTATCACCAGCTTACCAACATCTATAATGCTTTACACTACATCAAAATGTCAAAACTACAATTGCACTGCTTCTGTGTTAGCTTCATCTTTGTGCCAATTTCTGTGCTTACAACAAAAATGAACTTAATTTCCAAATGCATGGAGAGTAATGGTCAAATCACGATACATTTTTTTAACTTCAGGTAAGAGAATTTTCAGCTATGCATTGATTCATTGACCATGACAGCTGGGAATAAGATTTTAGATTTTATTTTGCCTACATGAGTGCATCTGCATTTTTCATTTCAATACGTTCCGCCACAGCAGCCTACCAAAATCAAGAAGGCCACCCCTTAATCTTCCACAACGTATGAGGTTCTCATGTGAGCACTGTAAAATTCCAATATACAAGAAAGAACTTTAAAACCATGAACTGGGCTCAATAAGGGACCGTGCCAAATGTCTAGACACACCCTGAAGTGAAACCTGCTGAACGTAATTAAAATGTAGAAAACAGTCTGGCCTGCTAGGTACACGGACTAAAACAATTCAGAATACAAAATCTCTTTTCCCCAGCACCTCTAGAGGCCAAGTTAAATCAGTTGCTTAAATGATTAAGCATGTGCTAACAAAAAGATTGAAGAAGTAATGAAACATTTAGTTATGTTCATGGCTGACTTGGTATTTAATATTTTGGAACTGCTAAACACAAAATTAATGATAGATTTAAATCATACAATTATCAGTCAAGCATGGGTAAAGGTTTCAAGGTGCTCACTCCAGTAGTATTTGTTGGTTAAATCAGGAGGCAAGGACTCCCATATCTGTGAACTGCCAGTTTATGACCCATGAGAGACATAACACATCCTGAAAGAGAGTCATATCTGTTAAAAGCATGTGCTGATAAACCAAGATGAGATGTTTCCTGAATGGCATAAGAACGTTTACTTGGACCTTGCTGTTGGCTGTTTTCATCAAATGTGCCTTTCACACATTTCTGAAATCCCCAAAGTACTGGAAAACCAACCCTGAGAAAAAATACACAAAATGAGAATCTCATATTAAGGTTCTCTGCTAAAAAAAAAACTCCAAACGAAAATAATCCGAGTTCTGAAGATAGTTTTTTCCCCCAGAAACAGCAGCTCCAAGCATTTTTAACTTCACCTCTTTATAGGCAGGAATTCAAGGGTAGAATTATGACCCATTAATCAAGGCATAGAAGGACTGCGGCAAAAGCAATGATATAAATAGTGTTGCCATAAAGCACTTGTAACTTTAAAATACAGGGCACAACTGCCAGGGCTAAGAAATCTCTATTTACACAGATGTGATGGCTGCTTGCTAACATTCATTCTGAATTATGTCTCTTAAGAGCAGAAAGACGTTTCCTGTCTGTATCTTTACAGCTCTGTCTCTCTTTTTCCTGGCATATCATTTCTAGATACTTTGCTGGCAATTAATCTCCCTCCGTGGGATGGAACGCGGTTTTGCTTTCCTTTCCTCATGAAGGCCTCAAAGTATTTATTAATATTAATAATACTCAATACTCAAAAGTCCACGACTCCCCATCTCAGTCCTCGGGATGTTTAATTGAATCTCGGCCTTAAGAATTTACCAATTAGCTCATGAAAAACATTTTTGACAGTTCATCAAGGCATTCAGCGAATCTACCGGTGAACGTGTGAGTAACCTGAAAATCAAAGTTTTGGAAAAAGAAAACTTAAAATGTCCATTACATTACCGATTTAATTAAGGTGTCCGTTAAGCAACAGAATCCAACTGGAAATACGACCATTACGAAGCTAATTTTTAAGCGAATGCTAAACAAACAGCTAGACACGCACAATGCTTGGAACAATATTACACACTGCACTCGCGTAAAATTTTTCTGAAAAAGTCGTTTACATTTAGATAAACTTTTTTCCTGCTAGTGATCGAAGCCATTAAAATGGGGTCACGTTACACTTCTGAATTAAGGTCGCGGTCGCTCGGCGGGTTTATCTCAAAGTTACTTGATAAAATCCCAATCCATTTTTGCAAAGCTTTTCCTTTAGGTCGACATAAAGCTACAGTTTGCAGGGTTTCCGTGTGTAACGCGTACAGTCAGTGAACTCCAGAGGCCTAATCGGGAAAAAAAAAACACAATCGCACGCACAGAAATGAAACCGACCAGGCTCAACGAAGATAAAACGTTACGCTGCGGGCTCCCAAACGAGTGTTTAAATAAAGCGCTGATGTGTTGTTCACACAACGCCCGCTACCCCCATGAAAAAAAAAAATATATCCAAAGCACACGGAGCTTGCCTTGAATCTCGGAGCCCAGATTAAAAACGCATCACATCTCGAAAAGCCGCGTTCACGCGTTTAACATTTTCATCAGAAATGACAACGGGGGGAGGGAAATGTTCCGAGTTGTGTTTTGGGCTGCTAATCGGTCACGGAAATCGACGCTTTGGCAGCGTGGCTCTTCCAAGCGATTTATTTTGGATCCCTAAAGCCCGGCCTTGAAATAAATGCACGGGACTACATCGGATCGAGCACCCCCCAACAAGTGCCGCATAACACACAAAGGCTTCTCCGATGGCACAAAACAAATAATATTATTCCCTTTGATGTTCCCTCTCTTTTTTTTTTTCGCTCTTTTCCCATCCCCCCAGCCCGCATTGTCCGTCTCAGTTCAACTTTGACTAATACGGAAACCTCCGCCAATCACCCTGCGCCGAAAAGACTGGGCGATCTGCCGGGCCTCGAAGTACTTCCCCGCAAATGCTACACTTACTCGCCCGAGATCGACGAAACGGCATCACCTACACCGCAATAACACGAAACGCAGGGGTCTTGCACCACACCCTGCACATTAATATTGATTTGAAACCCTTGCTCCCCCCCTCACATACAGCACCACCACCCCGGCGCGCAAGAAATACCTGTCATTGAGCTGGTCTTCGGTCCCAGGCAACGGGTGAACCACGAAGTGTATAGACGTCATGACTTCAATCCAACATAAGACGAATAAATGCAAAAGATATGGTAGGGAAATAGTGTTTCCGCGTTAGCTGTAATGTCGGGCGTTCATACAACTCGGAATTATAACGAAAGAAAAGCAGAGCCTTGATTTGCTACCCCCTCATCCACACTCCGCCATCTTAACTCTACCAGCTCCTTCGCTCTGTGATGATCAGCAGAAATACAAGCGCGACGCTGATTGGACATCGGCAGGTCACCTGACACAATGTAAGCGCGGACCGGATTGGCCGTCGAGAATAAAGACAGTCACGGGGATTGGGAGGGGTGGAGTTTATCATGTGAGAAGCCGCAGCCATGTGCTGTCAACTCAAGTTTGCTAGTGCTGCCTGTTTTGTCCATTAGGTTGAGAAACTGAGACAAGTTGTGATCAACACTGATGAAGGCCTTCCGGCATCAGCATGTCTGTGCTTTTTGTCCAATCTGCTGTGTAACATATCAAAAGTCTTAGGAAATAAGTAAACCTTGAGCAGGAGATATTAAGCCTTGAGTTGGTGCAGTAAGGACCACTTACACACTCAACACTGGTTGTACCTTGTTATGATTCAAATATTTTTAAACACAGATTAAAACAGATAATGACAGAGGTTAGTAAAACACAAGAACTTCATGAAATGCAATGATTTGCAAACATAACCACGTTTATTAGGTACCTGTATATTTTGCTTTAATGTAAGATTGATAAGAGCTCATGCTCAACATTCTGTAGGCTATATAATAATAATAATAATAATAATTATTGCTTACACTTATATAGCGCTTTTCTGGACACTCCACTCAAAGCGCTTTACAGGTAATGGGGATCCACCAGTGTGCAGCCCCACCTGGATGATGCGACGGCAGCCATAGTGCGCCAGAACGCTCACCACACACCAGCTATCAGTGGGGAGGAGAGCAGAGTAATGAAGCCAATTCATAGATGGGGATTATTAGGAGGCCATGATTGGTGAGGGCCAATGGGGAATTTGGCCAGGAAGCCGGGGTTACACCCCTACTCTTTTTGAGAAACGACCTGGGATATATGGAACTTTGGTCAGGTGTACTTGATAACACAGCAACATCAAAATATTTATTTTTGACTCAGTCATTTGATCAAGTCTTTATGAGAGCGCAACAATTATTTTACAAGACAAAAAAGTGTGGATTTAAGTCTACTTAATCTATGCAGTATTTTTAAAGACTTATATTTAAGTCTATCAATCTATGCAGTATTTTTAAAACTGATTTTGGAGGCCCTTGGGCTTCATGATGAGGTCTTTGCTTGAAGTTCACTACCGGATTCAGGGACCTTTATAGAGACGGATTGAATTCAACCTCCCAAAGACAAAGGAGAGCTTGAAACAATACTAGGCATGGCAAACTACAACTACTAGCAAAATTTGCCCCTAGCCTGTCTGACATTAACGTCCCACTGCATCACCTCCTAAAAGAATCCAGTGAGTTTGTTTGGGATGCACAGCAGGAAAAGGCTTTCCAGAAGATGAAGGACCTTACCACAAGGGAACCAGGTCCAGTTCTGGCATACTTTGACCCCAGCAAAGATCTCCAACTTCAAGTTGACGCATCACAGCATCACAGCATGGCTTGGGTGCTGTTCTGCTACAAGAAGGCAAGCCCATTAGTTATGCATCTAAATCCCACTGCTGACACCATGTCTCGTTTCTCGTACACATAAAGTGTAGAAATTAACAACCCAGGACGACGATGTGACACTCGAACAAACTCTTTATTATTTAACCTGTAACTCCGAACCTGTTAGCTACTACATTCCTATGACCTGTGACCCTAAACAACCGTTATTCCCACTCAGCCCTCCACCAATCAGCATGCAGTTTCACTGCTGACGCACACAGATATTACAACATCGTTGGAAGGGGGTGAGTTCTTTTGCAAGGCACTGTAAGTGAGCTTACATGTGCCAATATCTTGAGCATGTTGACTTTAAGTCACTATTATTGTTGCTGTCCCAGGAAAACAGCTGTTAAGTGTTCTGGATGTTGGAGAAACTATTAGGGATACAGTTTAAAAATGAATCTGTAACACGATGGGCAAGATTGTTTGACATTTGAACTCCGGTACTGGTAGTGAACTTCCTCTCCACAGTAAAAATGGAAAAAAAAATCCAGTTTTGTAAAGCAATCTTGGGCACAAGCTGCCTTAAAATGAGATCAAGTAATAGGTTTTATCTATGCTGAAAAAAAGAAGAGAGAAAACACAGTGTTTCGGCCGTGGAGCCTTCTTCTTCAGGCTTCTTCTAACGTCTCCATCCAATTCAGGGTCATAGGGGAGCCAGAGCCTACCCTGGCAAGCAGCAGGCACAAGGCCATCACAGGAAATACAGCACCTTCTTCCTGACGGAAAAGTCAAGGAAGAATGTTGGACGCAAGGAGTAAGATTTGCCATCAAGAATGAAAACATTGACTGCCTTCATGGATTACTTTCTGGAATCAGTGAGCACCTTAGAACTCTTCCTCTCAAATGAGCAGGGAACCTAAATCCTAACTTAATTTCTGCACATGCTACAGCTCTAGATTCAGATCGCATTGTTTGTGGAATCCCAAAACACTATAGATTTATTGTCTTTGGAGATGGCAGCTCCAAAGTTAAATGACTTCTCAGTCTCAGTGGAACCACTAGCAATTAAAAACCTTTGGCAATCGAACCGATGGCATTTGCATTTGTCTCATTATCAAGTGAGCAGTGCGTGGACTCGTCCTTACCAACATCTTATTTTTCAGAATCGGATGCTTTGAATCAATTTCCTGGAAATGCCATCGGTTCTATTGCCAAAAGTTTTTAATTGCTAGTGGTTCCACTGAGACTGAGAAGCGTCCTTAGTGTCAAAGCACTGAAGGAATCAAACTGAAGAAAACATTTTCAAGACTGCACTAGGGAGAAGTTCTCAAGTCTCAACAAGGAACAGAAGAGAAGAGTCGATACACCTTAGCAAAACCTCAAAACAAATATCACAATAACAGCAGCAAGACGTTTGGATTTATACCAAGAACTTGTCTGATGAACATGACCGTGGGATCAGGTGATCAGTGAGCTGATTGGTCAGATGCACAAGACTTCCTGTGCACGTGCAACATAAACTCCCAGTAGTCTGTCTGCCCAACAAGCTGAGGCAGAGGTCTCCTGTTATTTGAAAATGCAGCTCCTAAAACCTTCTCCACCACACTCTACTAGTTAATAATCATGCTTCACTTCCTGCCGTTTTGATTGATTATACATGATGCGATCTGGAGTAGCCTGGTTCGTAGTCTAGATGGTTCATGTAGATGCTGCATGCCTGTGTGTTGAGCCATAGAAGGCTGATTGTTCCTACAGGCAGGACTCCAGCATGGGGGGGACGAGGCAAGTTATTGGAAACGACATGTTGTACAACGTCAGGCTGGAAGCCGGGGGGGAGGGGTAAAAAACAGCACACATCTCACGCGAACAAAGAGTCTCATATTTTTGAAACCTTTTAGGGCTAATCCGTAGGGACCGGATCAGATTTCAGTTGTTGTGAAAATGCAATGTGATCGTGTTGAAGTCCGCTGATATTTAGTGATGCATCTTAGCGTCTGAGCTGTGTTTTTTTACAGTTAAACGTAAGCTCCAGTGCAGAAATGAACTGGAGCCAAAGGGTAGCCAGTTTTTGAGGGTTTGTAGACCTGATTGATTCGATAAAGGTAACAGTTTAAATTCTAATACTATTTCCATAGTCCTGAATAAAACACGCAAATATCTGTGGGTGACTAAAAGATATGATGAATAAAAGGGAGTGCAAAGATACAGAAATTCATACATATTTTACATATGTGAATTGTGATTACGCAGTTGGCGGTTTGCTTCTATGGATAAAAACAGAATTTTACATATATATGATTAAAAAGTACTTTCACAAACTAGTTGGGTCAGGACAAAAACCCCAAAATAAGGTACTGTAAATAGGAGGCATGTGAGAAATGGCCCATGACCTCTTTATAGTCTCTGGTGATAGAGCAATTAATGAAGAGTCAAACCTGGATAAGCAAATATTTATTGACAATACAGAAATACAATTACTCCACACACAATGTTAAATGAAATTCACCTGCGAGAGAAAAGGGATCCAAACAAAAAGGCCAGTGAAAAAAAAAATTAAAAAGCCAGAGGGAAGTACAGAGCAAGAGGAAAATAAATGAAACAATGGTATTTTAATATTTTGGTTTTACGAATATGCGATTACTAACAAAATAATCATTTTTCCATATTATGTTGCAATATATAATATAATATCAAATGCCTTAAAGCAAACACACAGGTCTGCATATTCCAGATGCTTGCATCCTACAGTTCCAGAAAGACAGAATTCTATCCCTGTCATCAGAGCACTACGCAACACCTCAACAGGCTTAAAACAGAAAAATCCTTCCTTGAGTTAAAGGGATAATACTTGGAGGGAAATCTCCTATTCTAAAAATGCTTCACCAATTAGAAGAGGCTGTTTATAGTCTGAGCATTAGCCAATACAGGAAATCTGAATGCCCTAAAATACATAAGACAACAAACTGTAAAAATGTTCAGTTTACGCTGACTGAGTAATCTGAACATTTTGTAGTCCGTTCAGTTTTGTTCTCCAAAAAACGGAATAGAACAGGTGATGGTGATGTTTGTTGTTCTGCCTGTGTCTTCTCCACTGTTTCTCTCTCTCTCCCCCTGTCATCCTTTTTTCCTTGCCTCTGTATTTACGGCGTGCTCCGCTGCTGTTGAATGTTTTATCCTGTATTATGATTCTGTTGATTAACCACAAAGTTAATTAACCAGAATAAACCACCAGAAACCTCCTGTGTGCACCTGCCTCTTAGCTCACCTGTCGGATAGGCAAACACCTTACATGTTCAGGTGGGTAGCTGCGTCAGCATGCGTAGGCTGCAAAGGAACAAGTAATAGGTTTATTCCATGCTGAAGAAAAGAAGAAAGAGAACACAACGTTTCGGCCGTGGAGCCTTCTTCAGGGGTCGACACCTGAAGAAGGCTCCACGGCCGAAACGTTGTGTTCTCTTTCTTCTTTTTTTCAGCATGGAATAAACCTATTACTTGTTCCAAACACCTTACATGATGTGCAGAGTGGTGGCTCTGTGGCTAAGGATCTGTGCCTGTGGCCAGAAGGTTGCCAGTTCAAATCCTGCAGCCAGCAAAGGAATCCTACTCTGTTGGGCCCCTGAGCAAGGCCCTTAACCCCAGCTGCTCTAGGGGTGCTGTAAAATGGCTGACTCTGGGCTCTGACCCCAAGCTTCTCTCCCTGTCTGTGTGTCTCATGGAGAGCAAGC